CACACACACACACACACACACACACACACACACACACACACACACACACGCACACGCACACACGTACACACACACACATATGTTTGGTGAGTGTTAAACCTCTTCTATGACTACCAACAATGTAGAACCAGCAACCCTCTGGCTCACACTGCTTGCTGTGGGGGGTTTTGTGGTTTTTGTGGTTTTTGTATTACATCTATGTCTTCTCGGTCTCCTCTATATGGATCATCTACACTCAGTCGCACGTGTTTGGGCATTGACAGTGCTGCATTGTCGCTTCCTTTTCCCCCTTCCCCCCCCCCCTCTTTCTACCTTCTATTATAATGTAACCATTGGACCAAGTTTTTTTCTATCCTTAAAGCGACCTTATCGGTGTCTTGGATGTAGGAGCTAGGTGCCTTACCGTCGCACACTGAAACCTGAGTTTGATTCCTCGTGAGGGGAGAGTTTCTATTCAGTATCTCGATCTTTCTGCTGGGACATTCGTTGTATCCCTTTCAGTTCGGGTTGGTTGTGACAGGCAGGGCTGAAGCCCGCCTCCTAATTTATCTCGATTGTGCCGATGATGGTTGAAAAGTGCCTACAATTGTAATGACCTTTTTATTTTAGCGTTTCTTTTTTAAAATGGTTTCTATTATAATATGTATCCCATAAACCCCACAGACACATTATGCATCATTTTGACAGCATGTATGTCTGTATATTGCCTGCTCAGGCGGACTGGGAAACAGTATTCCTACAAAAAGACGGAAACACTCAAGTAAATCTTTCCTTCGCCGGAATCGAGCCCTTGCTTCTGCCTACATCAGCAAAGAGCCAAACCATTACACCAGTGACGCCGGTGACCTGTTGGTGTCTAGAGCGAGAATGTTAGATTCATATTATAAAAAGCTAGTCATCTAATGTCCTTAGCTGCCCTCCTTCTTTTTTGTGTAGGTTACTTTTATGACACCTCTATTTTTTGGCACGTATAGGACCTAATTGTGTTGCAAGTGAAGTGAAATCTATTATCTATTTGTGGTGGCCGAATTTTGCTATTCAATAGGCTTTTAATGGCTGCATCGATCGACATGCGGTTTTCGCCAAAAGATTCTTTAAAATATTCTCCAGACCATGACGCCTTTCGTTTTTTCAGTTTTGAGACAGTTTTGCTGCAAAAAGCTAAATTTCTGTATTTCGCCCATCGCTTTTGTAGGCCGACGCTTCTGTCTCTGTAATTTTAGAAAATCCGGTGCGGAAGTGATATTTTGCGAGGCGCATTTTGTTTAGATCTAGTTCTTACTAAAACTAAAACTTTCGTTAGTCCCTGCTGGGTGGTACATGACTATAAGTATAGTTAAATTCAATTTTGTTCCAGCTGATGTTAATAAGCTAGTGATCATAGTTATTGCAATAGACCCCCACCCTTTTCTTTTTTGTGTGTAAATTACCATTCCTTACCATCTGCAGGCTCCCGAGGCCCCTGATACGTGGCAAGGCACAAAGAGGACTGTGGACCTTCCTCCGGCCTGCCCTCAGCCTCGTATGGGTGTCGACTACATCAACATACATGTGCCAGGGTTTAACAGAACCAGTGAAGACTGTCTGTACCTCAACATATATGCCCCGAGGGTGAGTACAGGCAATTGATCTATTTCATGACACGGTGGAATCCGGCACTCGTCAATATGAAGTTATTGGTATACCGTAATCTTAAAACTTATTCATTTATCTCGCTTTCCATTTTTTAAAAATACCTTTGAATAGAATAAGAGATATTTGTGGTTGACAGAAGCGGGATTGTTTGGTTTCAAGGGTAAAATTAGAGAGAAAATGACCATAAAAGTTTGCGGACTTCCATAGCTTATAGATTCTAGTCCTTGAAAATTAGGAATTTACTTTTTTTTTGTTCTTATTAATCGAGATTTTTCAACAACATCCACACAGAAATGTGTTTTAAAGTGGACATAAAAGGTCCCCCCCCCCAAAAAAAAAATAAATAAAATAAAATAAATTAAATAAAGATCGAGTTTTTGTAATTGATGAAAATCGCCAAAACAGGCAGGTAAATGCCGATTTTTACGATTTTATTATTTTGACGAGCGCCTGATTTCATAACACTGCGAAATAAGGTCATTTCATTTTTTTAAATTATTGTTTATTTTTATTTTTTTCTTGGTTTGATTATTCCTCGTAAGACCGTTCTGATGTTGTCAGTCATGACTTTATTAACCCACTACAAACACGTTCATTTGTAGATACATGCAACATCATTCATCCCTTTCGTCACTAACATTATCAGTTTCATATATCAGTAGAATCGTTAATTTCATTGGTCAATAAGGCCACCCACTTATTTAAACCACCATTTATTCATCCACGACACCATTCTATTATTTGTTGGCGGTATTATTCCTTCTTGTTTTCATGTTTCATTCTGTAGAAGTAGGTTTCTTTGGCCGAGAGGACCTTCTCTCTTATTTTGTCTCTTCCCACCTTTTCATGCCACTACTCTACCCTTGTCTGTCGAAGCTTCAATTTGTTCAGCTCATACACTCATTCTCTCTATCTCTCTCTTTCTCTTTCTCTCTGTCTCTCTGTCTCTCTCTCTCTCTCTCTCTCTTTCTCTCTCTCCCTCTCTCTCT